CATCCTAAACCCACCTGAACCAGCCTAATCGAAAAGCTGACGCCAGAAAGGCTTTTGCCCAGGCCATGACCACCACGATGACCACGATGGCCAACACCACGACCACCACGATGGCAGCGGAAGCTGCTGCACACCATCCCAGTGCGGAGGAGCTGTGGACGTGACTCCTTTTGGGTTATGTTTGCTTGAGGCTTTGAGTGCACAATTTACAGGTTCAAAAGCCAAAAAGGAAAGCCGCGACTTTGTGCGTCCGAATTTGTATTTCACATGCCCATGATCCTTAAAGTTGCTTCTTTTTTCACCACTAGGGTGAGGATGCTACTTCAATGGACCCATATTCTTTTAGCTGGGGTATTGCCACTTTCCATGTCTCTGCATTGCCGCTAGCTCACCGATTCGGGGAGTAAACCGAGCTCATTCATGATGAAGACTTACAGATTCCTTTTTTTGAAGTTTATGAATTTTGCGTAATTGTAAACGCTGCGCGTTGCCCGCCTCGGCCCAGCCGAGTGCGCAGCGTCTGTGGTTCGACCGCAAGCAGCAAAGCTGGTCAAGTGGCGATTCAGGAATGGACAGGTTCTGGCGTCGTTGGACCAATTGATGTCATGGGCCGAAGTTGCGCAGGAATCCCTGAGGCAAGGGCAAGGCGATGCATAGGACCAGGAGTGAGTCATGGAGCCAAGAGTCAGTGGCGCTGGGTGCTGGGGCAGTGAATGGCATGGCCGGAAGTTGTGTGGTGATCATCGCGCGAGGCAGTCTTGATCAACTGTGTTGGCGTGGGGCTTGTTCAAGCGTGGATTGGTCGGAGTCGGGCATCGGCTGCTTGCGCGGGCACATGCGAGCCAGAATGGGAATCCCACGCGCCGCGGCTTCCCAAAAGTGGTGATAACAAGTCTCCGTTTGAGCAGCGAGCTTTCAGCCGGGTGTTAGGTGAACTTCTTTGGGTTGCCGCGTTTGGTTGGGCCAGCCTTTTCTTGGATTGTTTGTTTGCGTGTAGTTCTCGTCTTTTTTTCTTGCTTCCTTGCTTCCTTTCCGTCTTTCTTTCCTTGCTTCCTTGTTTGCTTTCTTTCTTCTTTCTTCCTTCTTCCCTTTTCCTTTCCTTTCCTTTCCTTTCCTTCCTTTCCTTTCCTTTCTTCTGCTTTCCCTTGTTTCCCTTCTTCCCTTCTCCCCTGCTTTCCTTCTTCCCTTCGCCCCTTCTTCCCTTCTTCCCTTCGTCCCTTCGTCCCTTCTTCCCTTCGTCCCTTCGTCCCTTCTTCCCTTCTTCGCTTCTTCCCTTCTTCCCTCCTTCCCTTCTTCCCTTCTTCCCTTCTTCCCTTCTTCCCTCCCTCCCTCCTTCCCTTCTTCCCTTCTGCCGTTCTTCCCTTCTTCCCTTCTTCCCTTCTTCCCTTCTTCCCTTCCTCCCTTCTTCCCTTCTTCCCTTCTTCCCTTCTTCCCTTCTTCCCTTCTTCCCTTCTATCTATCTATCTATCTATCTATCTACCTACCTACCTATCTATCTATCTATCTATCTATCTATCTCTCAGTCTTTCTTATTTCTTTCTTCCACATTTTTCTCCCTTTGTCGCTGTCTTTCTTAGTTGCAGTCTTTCTTTGTCGTTGTCTTTCTTTCTGTACTTCTTCCTTTCAAACTTTGTTTCAATGCTTTCTTCCATTCTTTTTGGAAGCCCCCTCCTAAGACACGACAAGACATCTACCCCTCTTGCGCGCGCGGGCTACCAACTCGAGGAGAACCACAATCAAAACCCGGGTAGATGAAGGTTAGTAAGGGGCAGTCCCAGCCAGACATAGTTGCGGGCATCCGCCTTCTTAATTCTTGAAGCATGGTTCTGGGATTACGACCATTTCAATGCCGGGTTTTGATTGCGACTCCAGGAGTTCCTGATGATTACCGTCCACTACAGCTGGATCTGCCTCCTTCTGCTCGTTCTGCTGGCTGGGGCCTCGTATTGCGCCCACAAGAAGCATGGGAGGCGGTCCACCAGGACGGGTGGTTTTAGGCGGAACCAGGGCTCCCTGCATGTCCTGTATGGGTGTCTCTGTTTTTTTTTTGGGCGGGGGGAAATTACCAGTTTAGAGGTTCTCACTGTTTTCCTTTTTTCTCTCTCCTTTGGTTGTGAAGTTGTTTGGAACATCGCCTTTTGGCTGATTGTGGGTGAGTTTCCTCTCAGGCTAGCGGTGGGGAGGTAGGGTTGGGCCAGTTTGTTTGAGCATGCTTTTAACAAGGTCCCTAGGTTCTCCTGAAAGGGTGGTCTTGGAAGATCACTTTTCGTGACACAAATCAAGTGGTTTCCTTTGATGGAATGATGTGTAGTGGGGGAATACAGGGAACCCTGTTTAAAACCTGATTGTTTCAACAACTTCCCTCTGGCTTGTCGTAGATTGGGGGAAGCGATGGGGGTGGGGTTGGCAGCTTCTTGTTTAAACGTGCTGAGTCAACCTCCTTTCCCTTATGCATGAGGGCTGCTTGTCAAACATACTTTGCCCAGCCCGGATTGGTGAGACGCACCAATTCGAGGCTTGCGCACCGATTTTGGTACTTGAGGTTGGGCCCTTTGTTTCTGGTGCAGTATATAATTTGTAAGCATTTGTTGTGGGCTATCCGTTTTTGTTGCAGCTCTGCAGCCGAGGCGAACGTCAGAGTTTCCAGTGCCTGAAAACGGCCACAGCCTGGAGAGAATCGTGGAAAGTGGTCTGAAAGCCATGAAATTTCTGCTCCTCAAACGCCAGCTTTGAGTCGCAGGACCAGTCAGACTGGCGGCTCGATCGCAGTACATCACACCCCTGGGCTGCTGGCACATGGAGCGTACCCCTTCGCGGTGCGGGGCACGATCAGCACACTCTGCTTCATGCCGCTGACTCAGAGGATTCCTCACAACGGTTGGTGGTTGCATGAATCCAGCCACGTTTTGACGCACCACACGGGCTATCACTGCATCAGGTTATTAAAAGCATCACCGCATCAGGCTTGCCTTTAAGGGTCACCCATGTGGCAAAGGTGTCAGGTTGCGACAATTGTGAGTGGCGATCCAAGTGATTTTCCACAGCTATGTTCAAGGTCGAGGTTCCCACCGCCCTCAAAACTGACGGCAACTAGAGGTTTGCGCAGCATCTTCTTTTTTGGAACCCGTTCACCTCACAGAAGTCAGAAAAAGAAGCACCACATCTCCGATTGTTTTCACAAACACCACGTCGACCGACCCCCCCAGGTCAGAAAAAGAAGCACCACATCGCCCGAATGTTTTTTACGACCCCCCCAGGTCAGAAAAAGAAGCACCACATCGCCCGAATGTTTTTTTTACGACCCCCAGGTCAGAAAAAGAAGCACCAATGTTTTTTTTTTCGACCCCCCAGGTCAGAAAAAGAAGCACCACATTGCCCGAATGTTTTTTACAACCCCCCAGGTCAAAAAAAGAAGCACCACATTGCCCGAATGTTTTTTACAACTCCCCAGGTCAGGAAAAAAGAAAGCAAGAAAAACACACAAGAAGAAGCCACATCGCCAGTGTGTTTTTCACCAACCCCCCATCATTTCCTCCCCCTTTCGCACCCCGGCACCTTTACAAAGGCTTGGGGTGCTGCCTTTGTTCCTGATGCTCTGCGCGACGATCATCGGGCTGTTGCTGGCGGTGGTGGAGGGCTGGCCAGCCTCGCTGGGGCCCCCTGGCGGCTTGGGGTTCGGGTTCGAGGCTCGGGGCTGGTCACCGCCATGGCCATGTGAGCCACTTGCTCAAAACCCGAGTAGATGAAGGTTCGCAATCACTAACCCGCCTTGGGTTCTACGCGCGGCTCACATGAGTCACAATGAAAACCCGATATTACAATGTTCGTACAGAACCATGCTTCAAGAATTATGAAGGCGGACATCCGCAACTATTCTGGCTGGGACTGCCCCTCCTGGTTTTGGGTGCTGCTGTGAATCAGAAGGGCCCCGTTTGCTGGAGTTTAAGGGACACCCACCCAAGAAGAATGAGACAGGGTGGCACCACCCACCCGCAGTCTTCTTGGCAATTCGGGCCCCTAAGAAACCCTAGACTCTAAGACGTCCCAGAACCGCTGCCTTTGCCTTTTCGAAGGACCAGGCACCATAGCATCATCTTGGTTTCTCTTTCGATTCAGGGCGGGCTTGGTTGCATGTCGTTTTGCTCGAGAATGATGCCCAGGGTGGAGTATCTGCTCTCGAACGTTCTGGGCATGACTGCGCCCTTGACGTCCATCGTTCCCGAGGGAAGATTTGGGATTCACTTCGCCATTGTGATGAACATGCCACCTGGCTGATTCATTCTTTGCGAGCGAGCGAGGGTGCAGATGTGCATTTTCCAAGAAAGAACTGTTTCCAAAACGGTTTGTTCCCCTGATAGCTGAGAGGGGAAAGTGATTAAGTGATTTGCGAGATTGACGGCTGGGCTCTAGTGGGCGTGCAGGTGCGGGTGCTGTTTGGGGTAACAGTGACGGTGCGCGGGCGCTTTGCGAGATTGACGGCAGGGTGCTTTGGGGGTGCTGTTTGGTCGCTCTTCGGGGCGGTGCTGTTAGAGGTGCTGGTGTGCAAGGGTTTGCGCTGGTGCAATTTTGTTTTTGTTTCCCTATAAATACCGACCAAACGGGCGTCCACCATTTTAAGAGCTTCCGAGATGTGGCTTAGGGCAGGGCGACTTAAGGCTCTTGTTCTGTAGAACGGTCTCCTGAGTTTTTGCAGTTGGACTTAAGATGCGAACAGCTCGTTTTCATGGGCCTCATCGTCATGGCCCCCCAAAGCTTGGAGGCGGCCCCCCCTCCCCACCCCGAAGGTTGGCGGAGGGATGGCCGAGTGTTTCAGGCATTCGCGGTCTTGCTCCTTGAAACAAAAATAAGAGAGGACCGGGTTTTGTTCTTGATGCTGCAGGTATGCGGTCATTATGGTGACCACGGCCATGGGCCTTATTGCCAACATGTCCCTCATGGCCCACATCACCGAGAAGGTCCCACGGTCCATGTGCGGATTCCTCGCCTTTCTCCTCATCGCTGCGCCTTCGAACGCCGCAAGCGATTTGGTGTCCACACCGACACTTGGTGTGTGCGTGTGCGTGTGCCTGTGCCTCTGCCTGTGCTTGTGAATGTGTGTATGCACGCGTCTGATTCGGAAGCCGTGTACACATCATAAACCGGTTAATACAAAACATGCTTGGCATTTTGATTTGGGTAATATCCAGAATGGGGGATTCGAATGCGAAAAACTACACAGAGAGAAGAACCGTTCATGAGCGGAAGAGCTATGCGAGCAGGAGGTTGCGAGGGCTGTGTTTTTGAAGGCATGGGGCTCCAGATGAAAGTTCGCTAAGCCTTCAGTCCAAAACTGAGGTCTGGATGAAACTTCCTGATTTGTCTGTGGGTTTCTTTGAGGGACGCGTCGGAACTCCCCCTAACACCCCTACAACCCTAACACCCCCAGCACCTTTAAGACTCCCAACACCCCTTAAACTGTAGGGGTACCTTCCCTATTCTTTCCAGGCATCCTTCTTTTCTAAAAATTACACCAGCATAGACCCCAGATAGCATAAAACAGGTCGACATTTTGCCTGCGCAGCGTGACACATGTAAGCCGGTAGGTTCGCCCGGTCTTCGAGCAAGACTCCGGTGAGTCAAGTGTGGGCATAAAAGCTCCAAGCAACCCGCCAAGGATATGCGTGCTTGTCAGCAAACGAAATGAAAGTTGCAAAAAGACAGTAGCATGCAGAACATAGCAAGTTGTTCGAAGCTACATGTTGTCATCACTGCCAATTTGCGTGGGAAATTCGGTTCCACACCAAAAAAAACTTAAGGGTGAGGCAGCTTGATGCGCCTGCTGAAAGGGGTTTGGGGTCATCTAAGCAGGAATGAGTCTTGGCCGCCAAGAGGAAAGGGCTTGAACTGGTTTTTTGGGAATATTAACTATGAAACCGCCTCTTCTGTACGAGCAAAATGCGTTGTTCTGGAGCCCAAATTCTGTTCGCATTTTGGCTAGATTGGGCTTGCAATTGCGAGTTTTCACAAAGAAAGCAGTGACCTGCAACAAATTCTGCATGGGCACATTTTTGGGGGTTTTGGCCACACACCGTCACACACTCTAGAATACAGAGCAGAACGTTTTTTTCTTAGTAGGCATTTCTCAGTGGCCGTGAGCCAACTCCGAACAAGCTCCGAACAAACTCCGAACGAACTCCGAACAAACTCCGAGCAAACTCCGGACAATCTCCGAACGAACTCCGGGCGAACTCGGAACAAACTCCGAACAAGCGAACAAGCTCCGAGCGAACTTTGGCATTTGTTGATTTCCGAACAAACCCCCGAGCCAACTCCGAACACACTTTGGTCAAACTGCTTTTTTTCGAGCTTACCAAAAGAGGTAAAGTGATTACAGGGGCCAGTTTCAACAAGTGGCCTGGGAAGGCGTTTTTGGAGGCAAACAAACATGTTCTCAGGCCACGTGTTGAAATTAGTTCTTTTGGTCACTTGATTTTCCTGTTATGCATTTTCCGGGCTGGATTTACTTCCCGGACAAGCGCCAAACAATTTTTGGCCATATTTTTCTTTGGGGGGCTGATTTTTGTGTTTTGGCCTTAAGTTTTAGTTTTTCGGCTTTGTTTTGTCTTTTTGCTCGTGTTTTTTTCCAGGCTGTGATTTGTGCTTGATATTTTTTTCGGGGCTTAATTCTTGCCCCGAACGAACTCCGAACGAACTCCGAACGAACTTTGGCCTTAAGTTTGTTTTTGGAGCTTATTTGTTTTTTGGTGTTGAACTTTTCGGGATTTGGTCTGGGGAGCTGTTTTATTTTGTTTTTGCCTTAAGTTTTTGTTTTTCAGCTTTGTTTTGTTTTTGTTTGCTTGTTTTTGCTTTCAGGCTATGATTTGTGCTTAGTTTTTTTTTGGGGGGGGCGGGGGGCATAATTCTTGCCCCGAACGAACTCCGAACGAACTCCGAACGAACTTTGGCCTTAAGTTTTTTTTTGGCCTTAAGTTTTTTTTTGGTGTTGAACTTTTCGGGTTTTGGTCGTACAAAAACACTGGAATTACAGCTTGTTCACGCGTTTTGTCTACAAATTCAGTGTTACCAAGGTAAAAAAAACCTTGAAAAATGCTTAATCCAGGTTGTTCAGGCAAAAAAACAGCTATTTCATACGACCAAAATCGGGCAAAACCTTAAGTTCAACACCGGTGTTGAACTTAAGCTTTTTGTTTTTGGAATAAGGTTTTTTTTCCGGATTAAGCCTTGGTCAAGCAGATTAAACTTTGTTTCAGCTTCAACAGCGAGCCTCAGCGCCAACAAGCTTTTTTTTTTGGAATAAGGTTTTTTTTTCGGATTAAGCCTTGGTCAAGCAGATTAAACTTTGTTTCAGCTTCAACAGCGAGCCTCAGCGCCAACCAAGCTGCGAGATCACCCCGGTAGCGATTTTAGCCCTCCGCAGCTCTCAAGTCCTACAAATCCAGCCCTGAACGCCTTCCCAGGCCACTTGTTGAAACTGGCCCCTGTAATCACTTGGCAACTTTTGGTAATCCCGAAAAAAGCCAAAAAACAGTTTAAACCACCAAAATACTTTTGCTCAAACACGTACTTATGGCCAAAGTGTGTTCGGAGTTGGCTCGGGGGTTTGTTCGGAAATCAACCAATGACAAAGTTCGCTCGGAGCTTGTTCGCTTGTTCGGAGTTTGTTCCGAGCTCGCCCGGAGTTCGTTCGGAGTTCGTTCGGAGTTTGTCCGGAGTTTGCTCGGAGTTTGTTCGGAGTTCGTTCGGAGTTCGTTCGGAGTTCGGAGTTCGTTCGGAGTTTGTTCGGAGTTGGTTCGCGGGGAACCTGGGGCCTCTGAGAAACGCCTACCAAGAAAAACAGTTCTGCTCCGTTTTATGTAGTGTGTGGCCAAAACCCAAACAATGTGTCCATGCAGGATTTGTTGCAGGTCACTGCTTTCTTTGTGAACACTTGCAATTGCAAGCCCAATCTAGCCAAAATGCGAGCAGAATTTGGGCTCAAGAACAACGCATTTTGCTCGTACAGAAGAGGCGGTTTCATAGTTAAGTTATTCCCCAAAAGCAGTTCAAGCCCTTTCCTCTTGGCGGCCAAGACTCATTTCTGTTTAGATGACCCCAAACCCCTTTCAGCAGGCGCGTCAAGCTGTCTTACCCCTAAGGCTTAGCGCGCAGAAACGGCGGGGTCCGCTGGGAAACAAGCAAATTGATTCTTGTTTCGAGGAAACTGGCATCAATAGTACACTTTGAGGTTTGCTGCAAAATCCCTGTTTTTGTTTTTTTGGTTTTGTCAAACCCTTAAGTTTGAGTAAAAAACCATTATTCGTTTTTAGGACCTTAAAACACATAAATCCCGAACGAACTGACCTGACCCATGAAATTTGGCATTGTCATCATTAAAGAAATCCTTGGCTGTGGGCCAGCACACGCAAACACTTCAATTTGTTCGGCCACCCCCGTGCAAAAAACAAAGACTATCCGGCATCTAGACTCTGGCCCCGTCAAAGGAATTCTAGGCCACCCCAAAGCACACCGAGTTTCCACACATGTGTGCCAACACATGCAATGAACAAAATCCGTCAGACGGACGCGGCCGCTCACCCGTGCTAAAGAGCTCATCAACGGCATCCGGCCTTCCGAGATGGCAGACGGGGTATGAACTTGGTGCGGGAAAAAGAAAGCCTTCGAAACAAAAGACCGCCGGAAAGTTCTCCAAGAGGCCAATGCAAAAGTGGTAGCCTTCTCGTGCTTACAACAACGCCCAAAATGGATGAACCGAGCTCCAACGCCAAAATGGCCGCGCGCACGTTCACGGCGACCGCGCAGCAAACCGAAAGGGTTCTTAAACGGGTAAAAATAGAGGCACTAACAAGAGTCGCCCAAAACACCTGCTGACTCCACCCACAAATGGATTCGATGAGCATGGCCAAAGACATTAAAAAAAATTAAAAGAACAAACATTTGTTTGAGGGTTTCCCCTTGTTTTGGAGCACTCTCGCCTGCAGCCGTACGTTTCAATGGATGGGAAACACAAGGCAGCCTTCAAATTTCAAAAAAACAAACTGGCAAACAACAGCAAGATCAAGCTATGTCATCAGAACAAAAACTGCGCAACGGCGGTCGTGACGGCTTCTCAAGGCAATGTCAAGATCTTGGGTCTGAAGGTCACCTTACGTGACTGCATGTGCGGCTCAAACAAGCACGGCGAGCATTTGGCTTTGCCTTCTGCATGTGAATTGCACAAGCTGCTAACTGTCGGCCTCCCACTCTGCCTTGAACCTGCGCCACGGCTTGCCAGACACTGCAAGCTCCTTCTCAGCTGTCATTCTGGATGGAAAGTGGCCATTCCGGCGCGCCCAACGAAAAACGTTCTTCTTCTTTTTCTCCAAAGCCTGTGCCGTGGTCCCACCGCCTGCATGCGCAGCTCCACCTCTGGCGCCGCTTGCAGAGCGCAAGGCTTTCAGAGCTTTCATGGCCACTTTTCCGCTGCCCTGAGGATTCTCATTACGCACCTTCTTCTTGGCTGCAAGAGCCTTCTTCCAAGAAGTCTCGGTGCAAGTGTCACTGCAGAATTCCGTGTTCTGTGTCACCAGGTCTGGCTGTACCCAGAAACATGTGCGCTTCTTCGCGCGAAGTTCTTGGGCCTGTGTTGCGACAAGAGCACCGTCTGGAAAGGCACCCGCTTCTAAATGTGGGATCACAGAGTCTACGCCTGCCTTGCTCAGCAAATAGCAATGCGCCTGATAACAACGCTCCGCCACTCGCAGCTTGCCAAACGGCAGCTTTCGAACTGTGGCTCGCTTGCTTGCCACGCATCCTGCAGTGTGACAACCCAACTGAATAATCTTCCACCCTGCTGGCACTTGCTGCAGCAACTTCCGTATCTTGTCCTTGAGATCTGGAGGCACTTTGGCATCATCTTCCAGCACCATGAAAAAATCAAATTGACCAGCTTCCTTTTGAAGGGCCTTCAAAGTACATAGGTGGCTCAAGATGGCTCCGGCAGTTGGCCATGGCCGACAAATGC